AGATGCAGGATGAAGCAGAAATCACGGGTACACTGGATAATTTGGGACACTTACATTTACTAAAGCATGTAAATGGCTCTAAGCTACTCTGTCTAGACTCAGAAATCTCAGTATAATTTTGGCTCTGATTTGTTGTTCCAGAGTATCATCCTGCTGAAAATAGAAGCACTACAGCTGTCCCCCCGACACACACACACAAAAGGGAGGGGGAAACGTACATATTTGTGCTTGCTTGCTTAAAATACCTTCTGAAAAGAGAGAAATAGTCATTCACAAATCTGTCCTAAATTCAGAATGACCCCTGCAATCAAGCCACCATCAGTGACACCAACTGCAGCCTTTTGGATGGGTGCTAAGATAAGAGCTAGGACCTTTCAGATACAGTATACTGAGGACCAACAGGAGAAATCAAGAACAGGCAGGGTAGGCGTGAACCTCATCCAAATTGGGCTCTAAGGATTATGGGAGTTTTGTAAACACTGCAGAAGCAGTCTAGGCAACAGGATTCTCTACAATTAAAAGAGAACAAAAATATACCATATGTATGGTGATGGATTCAGACTAAAGGATGCAATCCAATTTGGGAAGTAAATTTAACTGACCAAACCCTAGCTACTTTAAGAATATATGGCTAAAATATAGCTCAAAAAAGTATCAATGATAAATGATCATTTTAATATTTTTATTGCACATTAAAAAGGAAAAAGGGAGAGATACAGCATTTACAGTGAAAGAACTTTATTTGTGGCAACGCCGGAATTCTAGCACAAGTTACAGGGTATTATGAAAAAGTCCACATGCTTGGATCTCCATGAGAAGGAGTTAGTATATTTTATTTAGTATATTTCTTTAGTATATTTTACCCTGTCACATTCATGTGAGCTTCTCTTACATATAACACAGAACCATCTAGCCAAGCATTCCCAACTTGGTTCACAATGGTTTTCTAAGGTCAGAGTGCAGGTCTTTTCCACCCTTATGAACCTATAAGCAGACATGCTGAATGTTGCAAGGGTGATCCTACCATGGAGTGCATTCCTACGACAAGCTAAATCTCCTCAAATATCTTTGGCCAAATAGAGGTTATGTTTTAATCCCAAATCACGTGAGAATTTGACATAGCCCAAATGGGAAAATAGCAGGTAAAGTATTTTAATGGAACACTTAAGCCAAATAAAAGATCAATACTTTGAATCGGTTGATTTCTAAAGCTGGTTTCAAAAACTTTTTAGAGATTGAATTTTGAACATGACTTGCCTACAACATTCACATGGCAATACATATAATTGAAAGATGTACTAAGCATGGTCCAAATATATTAGCAGATTCAGAATTATCTGTAATTTTAGGATCCTCAATAGATGCAGCACTCAAAAGGAAACCATTAAGCCAATTTTAGAAGGAATTATAAAGTAAAATTAAAGTTTATATCAGTTCTTTATTTGAATTGTGGAATGAAGAACTGAAATATTCAATTTTGGAGAATCACTGGATCCTGGTGTTAAGAAATATAAAATATACTTCCTATGATTTAAAAACAAAATTAATTCATCAGAAAATATTTTATATTTTTCTACCACTCAAAGAATGTTTAAAAAAGGTTAGGCATCAGATTTTCTGTGCTAGTGCTATAAAAAATTTGAAGAAACTTTAACTCATATGATCTGATCTGGTTCAGCTATAAAATCACTTTGTTTTCAAATTACTATATATGTCAATACAATTCTGAGAAAAAAACCTTTATAGTTAAGGACTCAATGTGATGTTGAACTATATTCATAAAACATGAAATCTGTCATCTCATGAAGAGCTTTGGCTCTATCAAGCCTGGGCATGGCTAAGACGATCATTTTACATAAATGGAAAGAAACTTGTCCTTCTGCTTTTAGGGACTGGATTCAGGATACGATTTTATGTATTTTTTAGAAATTTATGTGTTCTGAAAATGAAAAGGTGAAGCAGAATATTTCTATATGATAATAAGCTTATGGATTGGATTAATTTTGTATTGATACCTATGGGTATTATATGGATCTTTTTACATTTTTTTTGTTAAGTAGCCTTTTTTTCCTCTTTTTTGTTATGTTTATTTTAATCATCACAATATAGTTTGGTATTTTGTTTTGTTTTCTTCACTGTATAACCATGATTTTTTTCCTGTTGGCATTGTAATTATTTGTATTTCACTATTAAAAATAATTTTAAAAAAACATGGAGTGCATATGAAAGGAGCTATGTCCTCTTTCATATTAAACCAATGACTTAACACTGGATTATATACAATAAATGTGCATTAAAAGGTTTTTCCTTCTTTAAGCTTAGTTCTAATCAAATAAAAATACCACTATATATCATTGACATATAGGTGTTGTACAAAACAACACAAACTGCCATTTAGGTTAACAGGATTAAAGAGGTTATAAATAGAGTGATTTCTGTGGAATGAGTGAAATACCAATCAAGCACTTAGAGAACAGTTTCAGGGGAGATGGCCATGATGAAAAGAACTTTTAAGGTGCTGTTAAATCCTAGGCTTTCAAATTATTTTGGGAGAGGGAGTACAGCACGCTCTACGGGTGCAGGCATGACGTTCTCACAGCAGGAGGATCCCAAGATAGCTGAAACTTTCCCTTTGCATCAGCCAAGAATTGGCACTGCCATTATTGCTACCTGTATGAAAGAAATAAAACAACTTAGTGGCTTCCACACATTGTGCTACACTAGTGGAAGGTTTGCTTGGTTTTGCTTAGTGTGATATGTGAACTATCAATGGTTAAGCAAACTATGCCTTAGCATATACTGTACATGAACCAGGCACCTTCTTCCTAGTGTCTCTGCAAGTTAGTACCAAAACCACTGCCATCTCTTGTTTTTCCCCAAATGAAGCTTTTATTGTACAATCCTCCTTCAACACACTTAGACATTTTAAAGCAACTGAAATTTTTAATATTCCATTTGTAACCTGTGTTTTCCCACAATTTTTTCTGAGTTTTTTTTAAACACTCAGAAAAAGGAAGAGGGAAAAACTGCACAATGCTTTTTAACTGAAAGCACTTTATCTATTAGGGAGCAGCCTACATTTTTGGTGGTTTCTATTCTACATCACAAGGTATTGATTCCACTGGACATATTTCTTGCCGCCACTCTCTCCCCAGCGTGTCCTTGCTAAGACCTTAATGTATTCCAGATTTCTTTTAAAAAAAATAACTGCCTGAATTCAGACACATAACCAGTATGGGGCATCTACATCCACCAGAACATTTCCCAGAAAGATATGAGACTTTCAAATTTTTGAGAAAGTGCATTGCAGAGAAATCATATATCACATACTATACTTTCCTTCCTTTGGTAAAATCAGACAGACCCAACCAAGATGTATTTGAGAATTCAACATTTCTCTCTCTCTGATGGAATTACATTAAATCCTTGATTTAGTGGACTTTGGATGTAATTGGCTAAATTTCTGCCTTTCACCTCCTCTTCCCCCAAAATAACAGACAAGTCCATTGCATCCAAAGTACTCCAGATGAGACAGTTAAAAATTAAATTTACATTCATTTTGTATCATTTGTGTAATGACATCCTTACTCAAAGATGCAAATTGCATCATTTGCCTCAATTTGTCATTTGCACAAATGATGCAGATCACCACAAATTATTTAATTTGCATTTTGATGGATATACAAAATTAATGGGCATTCCCTCTCAACTGGTCTGTTAAACTGAGGTTTCACTGTAATTTATTTATTTTTAAAAACCCACAGAAATCTTGGAAATCCTAAGAAGAAGAAGAAAAAGAAGAAGAAGGGGAAGAAGAAGAAGAAGAAGAAATAATAATAATAATAATAATAAT